CAATATTATCCTAAACTAAGCAACAGCTAACAATGCTCCCCGATTAATAAGACGTAAAATCACAGCCCCTCCCACAAATTTCTTCGTCATGAATTAAACTATAACATCCAGTCCCGGGACAGTGGCCCTCCACTTCGAGCCTCCCACCAGATACCAATGCCATGTTCTTGGGGCTTCTCCAATTCCCCATCAGCAGGTACCAATGTGAAGATCCCAGGGTTTCTCCCCAATGTAGCCCGCCTGATGTTCCTAGGGCTCTTCCGGCTCCGTGCTGCAGAGGGCGAAGCACACCACCCTCTCCAGTGATCAGAACGGCCGCTGTTACACTCATCCACTGAGGGCACTCCGCTCTCTGGTCTCCTCTCACACACCGCCCCGCCAAACTCAGATCGCAAATCAGGCGTGGGAAACGACAGGCATAGAAAACTACACACTCTCCAGGGCCCTCTGATCTTACATCTCCTGGCAGCTGCTCCTCATGCACTAAGGATAGATTGGGCATTATGTTTGTTTACTGGCCTCCTAATTCTCCAGTGGGCACCTTCTCTAAATTGGCAGAGGTCGTCTTGGATGTAGTGCTGCAGACACCGAGACTCATTGTTGAATATTCATGCTGAAGACACTTCACTGGGGCCAGCCCAGGATTTTACAGCTTCTTGGTCTGCCTTGGGTCTCTCCCAAATCACACCAGGCTCAGCACATGAAAGGTCAATGTGGCTCCAACACCCTGCAGAATAGGGGGTCAGATTAAAATGATCTGTCCACAGAGGCTCATGAATACTACTGGATCCCAGAATGCTATAGGGGATTTTAGGATTCCATGCTCTGTTGAGGCTGCAGTAGCAGCATGGAATTTGAAGCTCCTTGAAGCTACCAACAAGGTCACCCCTCAACCACCTCTGTTATCCTTGGGATGAAGCCTAGCCTCCTGGTTTACCACAGAACTGGGTGATCTGAAAAGGGCTGAGAGACATCTAGAATGGCACTGGCAGAGAACTTGTATTGAATGTGACAGAGCATGTTTTGGAACTCACTGTAAGGGCTATTAAGCAGTGGTGATGGCAGCTAAGAAATGTTACTTCTCAGCTACTATTAACATCAATTAGTTCACAACTAGCCCAATTGTTTAAGGTAACTGTATGAGCCTTCATTGTATCAGGACCAGACAATTAGTTGTGATATTTTCGCAGGTTTTTTTGCTGAATCCATCATCATCACCATTATTATTGTTGTTATTATTATTATTAGTTATTTATTAAATTTATACCCACCCTCTCCGCAAACAGAATCTGCTCTGTTTTGTTGGAGGAGGAGGAAGAGGCCTGCAAAAGACCACTCCATTACATGAGGATTGCCCATCACTGGTTTCTTGCAAAGATTCCCCAAGGGTCTTAAAAAACTGTCTTTGGGTAAAGAAGAAGAAGGAGGAGGAGGAGGTATTTTTCTCCTGAAATTTGCATTCAAATACAAACATGATGGACTGTATTACTACATCCCCAGGAGGAGGAGGAGGAGGAGGAGGAGGAGGAGGACAAAAATGACTTTGGTATAAAGGGTGTTCCATTATTATTTCTCTCATAAGAAGACTTTTTCTACAATAACCATGGGAGAAAATATTGTGTTGAACATACATTAGCTAGGCTCAAGACTGAAAAAACTGGAGCAGGCTGCTAGGGAGCATGAAAGTAGAATTCCAGGAAGTTAACAGGTTCAGGAAAAAGATGCAATTCATATGCTTGCCATGCCATGCAGAAGGCTCTACTTTATCACTGCCATTGACAAGTAAAGGATCTTGGGTAAGAATGATGGCTCAGTGGTAGAACATCTGCTTTGCATGCAGAATGTCCCAGATTCAATCCCCTGGGCACCTCCAGTTTTGTTTTGGTTTTTTAAGGTAGTATGTGATGTGAAAAGTCTGAGGCCTGAGGCCCTGAAAAGCCACTGCCACTCAGTAAACAATACTGACCTTAACAGTCCAAGGGTCTGACTCTGGATAAGGCGGTTTCATGTCTTAATGGTTAATAGGGATGGCAAAACTATGAACAGGGCTGGTTCTTGGTCTAAGTCAAAACTGGAGAACATAAGCTTTCCCTTGTGTTCTTGCATGTCTAACTTTGTGCTAAAAACCTCTTGCAAGTATCTTTTTACACAGTACTTGCTCTTTCTTACCAGAAGTGCAAACACTTACAAAATCACAACTCCTCTCCCATGAATAGAGAAATTGTGACTTCTTGTGATTTTGTTCACAGAATGGAAGAAGTGACCGTGCATAAAGTGGCTCTTGCAACATTTGACTGCTCGTGCAAACAGATTACTCGTGCAAGCAGTTATTTGTGGAGGATACCAACACCGCAAGAACGTTGACAGCTGCTCTAAGCAGTTTTTTTAGCATAAAGAAAAAGCTGTACTTGAGTATGAGAATGTAAACATGTGTTTTCCCTAAAGTCCCTGGTACTTTAGGGAAAACACAAGAAAGCACCCAGTGCTGAGTCAAACATCTCATTGCAATCGACTTTGATTTAAATGAGATTCAACGTAAGGGCCTACTCCATTTATATACTGTAACAGCCAATACTGAGCACAGCACACTTAGGTTTAAACAGTGTGCATCACATGACTGGAGACAATATAATCTAACACTTGAGCGCCTCTTTGTTATTTGAGGTTTTGCTGCAAATCCTTAGATAAATTTGCTGCTGCACTTAGGCTGACAGATGACTTGTTTATATAAACACTGAATGATATTGCCAGGGATGGGCACAAACAGGAAAAACACAATTCTTGGCAGTTCGTGGCCGAACCATGAAACAAACCAGGAGGTTTGTTCGCGAACCAGTTCATGGCTGGTGGCCCCACAAACCCCACTGAAAGGGACTGCACTCACTTTAAATGGAGTTTGCAGAAACCAGGGGAAAAAGCTGAGTGAGGTTGCTCCCCGCCACTCAGCTGTTTTTGTAGAGAACTTGAGTATTTCAAAATCAAACATTCAAGTTACAACAGTAAATAGCAGAAGAGAGATATAATAGCAACTGTCAGAAGAATAAGGCAGATGTTTACAGGAACACTGGCTTAACAAACCTATTAAGTTACTTACTGATCACAAGCCCACACGCCTGAACAGTATGAAGTGCACTATTAGGATTCAGAGTTTTAAATTAGGAAAGAGGACCTGAGACATTCACGAACAAAAAACAACATCTTGGACAAGGTGTGCTGTTCCCAAGGAAGATGAAACACAGGTCCTAAAGTCCAATGAGCTAAGATGACAACAAGGCTGCTTTTCCTATACTTCATTTCCCAGCAATCAACGCAGGTAATTACTTCTGCAACCTACATTTCCTTTCTGGAGCCACAGCCATAACATCCAGCTAGAGGGGGCCAATTAATGGACAAATATTCTCCATGAATTAGGGGTGTTCTGGGTTAGGTAAAGGTAAAGGTTCCCTTGCTCGAAAGCCAGTCGAGTCCGACTCTAGGGTTGCGGTGCTCATCTCCGTTTCAAAGCCGAAGAGCCAGCGCTGTCCGAAGACGTTTCCGTGGTCATGTGGTCGGCATGACTAAATGCTGAGGTGCACGGAACGCTGTTGCCTTCCCACTGAAGTGGTCCCTATTTAGCTACTTGCAATTTCTTGCTTTCGAACTGCTAGGTTGGCAAGAGCTGGAACTAGAGACGGGAGCTCACTCCGTCATGCAGCAACTCGGGTCTTGAACTGCTGAACTACTGACCTTCCACAGCCTGCAGTTCAGCGTAGAAAAGCACACATTTTTTTATGGTACTGCTTTTTTCCATTTAACACGCACATGAGCAGCATGGATGCCATAACTGAAAAAATGCTAAAGGGCAAGTACTGGCAGATCTAACCAGCTGCAAGAGGTGTCAGAAGACGCAATAATGAGACAATCTAAGCTAGCATTCTATATGCCAAGACTGACAAAGCCATATTGCCTGTGAGATGGTTAGGATATGTCCTAGGCCATCCTCAACATGGGAAGAAGACTCCCCAGAGAAAGAGAATCCCCACTCCACCCCAGTCCCTATTATACCCAGAGCCAGTGTTCCCTCTAAGCTGAGTTAGTGTGAGCTAGCTCACAGATTTTTAACCTCTGGCTCACACCTTTTTGTCTTTGCTCAGGAAGGATGGCTCCAGAGCAAACTAATTTATGCAGTAGCCAAATCGCTCGCTCACAACTTTAATGGCAGTAGCTCACAAAGTGGAATTTTTGCTCAGAAGGCTTCACAGCTTAGAGGGAACATTACCCAGAGCTCAAAGTACATCAGGATCTCCAGAGGGAGGCTCCATTCCTCCTATGCAACAACAGGAGCCTGTGAGAATGGTGGATCGGGGACCCCTTACATGGACTCCTCTGTCTCCAGAACGCTTACAGGCTCCCCCAACAATTCAACAGCAAAGACGGGGTGGACCCAAGACAAAGCCTGGAACAGGTAGAGGAGGACATGCCTAGCAGCTCAAGGTATCCTCAAAGCCAGTAGGGCACTGCATTGGTAGTCTTAGCTGCATCAGGGATCCTACTAAAACCCCTTAGCTGGGATCCAAACTCTGCTGATTCAACACACCATAAACCACCTCATGCACTAGCCTGGAAAGCTCCCTGCTAAAGGAGTTCCAGCTATTTAAGTCCTTTTCCTGCCTCTTTCATCTGACTTGTGCTCCTGCACCTTTGTGACCTTTGATTATAATTACTTTTCTGAGCCTAGAAATCTTTTAATTCTTCCCTTTCTCCAAAATACACCTCTTTTATTAGAAGAGAATAGCAGACCTATCACTGTTTTAGCTACAACATTTTATGCATCTGTCGATAGATCTTTGCAGCCATTGAAATGGGGTCTAGCTTTTTACATGTTTTAATAATCTGCTGCGAACTAATAAATTAAGGAGCAGTTTGAGGTAAAGAAAGGGAGAGATTCAGCTCTTGCCTGCTTCAGCTGCCCTGCCTATGTACCCACATTGGTCAGGTGAAACAAAGGGTCACCTCCCTACCTTGCCAAGGCCTGGGTCTTTGCTGCATAGCGCTCTTCCTGTTCTGAAACCACCTTCTTCAGGTTGTCTATTTCCTGACGTAACCCTGCAGAATGTTCCATTTCTCCGTCAAGTAGGTTCCGCAGAGATCTGAGAAAAGGGGTGCAGCGTTATTGATGATGCTGAATGCTGTGCATACACCACATTAGTCAATAACCAAATTTCCAGTTAAATGACAATGTATAGAGTCTCTATAAATTACAGCTACGTGTAATAATCCAGAACTAGGCATGTGAGGCTTCTGATGCCCAATTAAAATTTTTCACAGCCCTTCAATCAGTTATGAGTACCTGCATATAACAGTGGAACAAAGTTTGAGTCCAGTGGCACCTTTAAGACCAACAAAATTTTATTCTGGGTATAAGCTTTTGTGTCCATGCACACTTCTTCAAATACACTGAAACAGGAGTCACCAACCATTACATATAGGTAGAGGATGTTGCCATTTACCTATATGTAATGGTTGGTGACTTCTGTTTCAGTGTCTCTCAAAGCTTATACCCAGAGTAAAACTTTGATGATCTTAAATTTTGTTCTGCTGCATCACACCAACACAGCTACCCACCTGCTATCCGCATGTAACAGTGGGTAGTGACTCCCTTCCTCCATCCTCAAAATACCTGAAATTTCCTATAGCATACTTATTAAGCCAAGACACATAATTGCAAGGAATTTGATGACCTTCCACTATTTAGCAGTTGCTGTAATGGCTGTGCAGCTCAATTTTTGATTGTCTGAAAGCTGATTCAACTACTGCACCTATCTATAGGAAGGTAAAGGCCCGTTCATTGCCCCATCGACATGGACGTAACTGCATGCCTAGAAGAACGGCTTCATAGGTGTACACGATACCAATGCTGCTGACCAGAGGTGCTATTTCTTAGCAAAAGAAGGGAGAACCTGTCAAGGACCAAAGCATAATTTTTCTGGGCCTGGTACAAATTTTTAATTTCTCCCCACAGTAACTTTGTCCCATTTACAATCTCAGGAGTGATGGGGGGGGAATCTGCTTTTGTTATGAATTGACATAAATTATAGTCATGGGCTCTCAATCTGGGCTGGGCCCACAAGGACCTTGGACCCAGTGAAGTGTACAGGAATAATTTTGTAAAGGTGCACAAATCCATTTAAGCACTGAAGGGAGAACCCCCATCATTGCCACATCTACAGCAACAAAACCCCATGTTTAGGGGAATCTGCTTATAGAAGTATACCATACCATTCCAGCAACAGAAACTTGCAGATTCCATGAAGTTAACTTCATTATCTTTGAGGCAAGTTTGTTGCATTTCAACCAAACATTCATGGAGTTCCAAACAAATCTGAATGGGTTTACCAAACATGGGATGTGTCCTCTCCAAGAAGGATACTGCCTTCTTGTAATGGATCATAACAGAGGAACATGAAGTTGTCTGTGGCATTACTATTTTCTTACCTGCTCTGCTCTTCGAGTTCATGCTTTCGGGTCATCATGGCCACAATGACTTGCCGAAGCTCAGCTAAGGAAAACAACGGGGATGAATCTATTATTCTTATCAGTTGATGGACCTCTATGCCCAACTCAGAAAAGTTCTTAAATTCACACTTAGGAAGTGGGGGGAGAGCATATGAACCACCACCATGACCTTCAATACACAACAAAGTCCCCAAACGCTTTCGGAAATTAGGCACAATTGAGATTAAAGGATTTCCTCTATGTATCTTGATGCTATTGAGTGTAATTTTTCCCCCCACCACACTCAGCAGGCAACCAGGCTGCTGCAGAAAACAGACTAGCTGAATTCACTATTAGAATATTTTATTTCAAATACCAGGCATTTGACATATTTTAGTACCATACAAATGGGGGAAAGTGTGCTCGGAAATAAACACACCTTCAAACATGTCTTGGCACTCTGTGGGGTGTTATTAATTTAAACACTCACCATGGAAAGTCAAAGATTAAGTAAATTTTGTTTGCAACCATTTCTTGAGAGAGAGTCAGAAAGTGAAATAAGCTGTTTCTCAGAGACCTTGCATTTCAGGACCTACTGTCAGACAGCTTTTGAAAATTGTCATGGGTCAGCCAGGGCTCAGCAATATTAAGGACTCCTCAGGAGAAGAGGAGCCCGATGTAGCCAGCTCTGAGCAGAAGCTGGCAAGCAGGAAGATGAGCTGTAGGCTTATGAGGATTCACAGCCAAAAGCTGGTGCAGAGCCACCAACAACCGACAGCCCTGATTCAACAGGTGAAACTCAGTTGGTCATTTCCACCCCTCCAGTATCACCCATACCCTTAGAGCACCACAGACAGAGGCTAAGAACAGAGCTACATGAGAGATAACAATGTGCACGCCTCCTGGCCTGACACCAGCTGCTTGCTGATAGCAAAGATGAGTACTTGCAGGATTACTCCCAAGTAGCTGGCTGCAAACATGACCCGTAAGCATTTGACTATAAAAACCAGCCAATGGAGGGTGTTAGGCATGGACACAACGCATACAATAGATGCTCGCCACCAACTAATTTTCTGGAACATTGACCTTTGGACCGAACAACTCTGCCTTGCCTGACTTCCAGCACCTGATACTCTGAGCTTGCTAACCAGTACAAACATATTAGAAAGGTGCAAGCTCAGAAAGTCAATTATCTGTACAGATTATTCTTCCTTTCCTTCTAGTCCTGAAAAGTATAACGCAATAGACACATGACTCATAATATACAGTCTATGGGCAGCAACCCACCCAGTCCAGGGAGTTCCTGACAACTTCTCAAAAGAACTGCAAGAGCCTGAGGAAATTCCTGCTCCACCATCACATTTACTAAATTGTCAATTGTTTTGAATGCCTCGACAGAAAGGCATTACACATCAACATGTTAAAATGCATAAATAATACCATTAACATTGATATTCAGGATATTACATTGGGGGGTTTTATTATTCATGACAGATCATGAAAATAAAGCTCAAGCTAGGCTTGTTTACCTTCTTATCTAAACTCATTCGGTGTTCCTTGTTTTGGACATTTCCAGAATTGCCTTATTCTGTAGTGGGAAATAAAAGCTTTGTGGCTGGGGAGAAACACTGTGGAACTTGCTGAACGGGTTGGGCAAAACTGTGGCAAACTATACATATTGGTTCAACAGGGCATTCTTCACTGTGGCACTGAGTCTGCGGAACTCCCTGCATGTATCTGCCAGCCAGTCAGCCATAGACCATTACAAGTTGAGAAGCCATGTAATACAATGATAAATAAAACTGTAAAACTAGAATATAAATGGCTGATGTTCAGTCCCCTTTGGGGGCCAACAGAGGAGAACCCAGGAAGCCAGTCAAAGTTGCCAAGTGAGGCAGCTGTGGACTTGTGGAGCAGCATACATTCAAGCCTTCATGCTTACCAGTATATAACACTGCATCAATGTATTTTAAAAGTATATGAAAAAGTTACACATTCTTCTCACTAAACATTCCAAAGCAATCCACCACGAAACACACACACATACACATACAAAACACTCAACCTTTTAATATACATTGTTCAAATAATGGAAATTACCCCCCCAAAAAGCTGAACCTATTACTAGTTTAAATTAAAAAATACTGGCTCCACCCATAAACAAATGCAACATTAGAATTATTAAGTACGGATTCTTAAAGTAATACCCCCATTTTCAATATTTGTTCCTATTCCCATTAAAACAACATACTGGGACCATTTATTTCCTTAAAACTGGAGAATCAGGAAGCGGTGTCAAAACAATACAAACGAATGCATGGAAAGACAGGAAAAACATTTTCACTACATAGCAACAAAATAGGTTAGTAACTAGAAAGTGGAAGACCCCCCCCCCAGGTTGTTGGGGGGGGGGTGTTAATCACACAAATATAACCTAACACGATGACCAGCATTACACACTTTAGTACACATTTGGGAAATGAACAAGCACCACACAGCCAAGCAGGAGAGTGGTCTGCTGTGTGCATCAAGCACTGTAGACCAAGCCATCACAGGAAGGACTGAACACAGGCAAGCACAGCTCTGTACCTGGGTCTAACTCAGCCCACACACCCATTGCCAGCACTGACGCCATCCAAGGAGGGCCATAATGCAGCTGGTCACCTCTCTCTCTCCGTATCTGAAGTCTTAAACTCAGCAGAGAACTCCTTCCTCAGGAGAACATCTGCACTGAGCTAGTCTATCATCATTATGAGCTGTTTTAGGAGCCATTTCAGCTGAAAAGCAGGGTATAAAAAAAGACACAGACTACCACCATTAGCCTTCACAAAATTCCTAACAATGCCCAATTTAAAAGGGAGAGAAGAGAACTGTGGAAACTACAGGGTTAGAGGTGGAAAGTGTTCTATCCACCCTGAGCCACAGATGGTGGTACAGACATCCCTTGACAGTTCTTTACTAGCCAGCTGTGACCAGGTAAGTACCAGAAGGAACCAGTTAAATCCACTCTGAATTCCCAGTAGCACACTTTCTTTACAGGGAATTCTAAATAAAGGATATGCTAGTGAGTAGTTCCCACACCTAGCTTCACGCAACACTCTCCTCCAAAGCAAATCATTAGCATTAGTTTTATCATTGACAACGTCAATGTTTATGTTTAAATCAACTCTCACCATAGCTGGAAATGAGGTTAAATATCAACCACTGAAATACAGAACATTTAAGTTTTAAAATAACTGACTAGCAAAACACACACAGACAGTGAATGCAAGAACAATTCCTCCCCCTACTGGCAACCAACATGTTTGCACCCTATATCTGTACTTTAGAAAGTGTTCTTATAATTAGCAATGGGCAACCTTCCCTCCTTCAAACTGTAACAAGCAGCATCCCCACATACCCAGAAGAAAACCTTGCTTTAAAAATGAGAATTCTTAATGGGAGAGCAAATGTTTAAGGAGGAGAGGGATTCTTGGCCCTGCTGCTCAGGAATTCTGATGGAACACTGGCTAATTCAACTGGATGGGGCGGGATATAAATCCCAAAATAAATAAAATAAATAAAAAATAAATTTGCCGTTTTTATTTATACCATTTTTTTTTGTTATAATGACTTGCCATTTTATTGGTGTTTTTATTTAGAGATGTTATTACTCGCATTTAATCCTAGCTGTGTTGGGTGAAAGTAGTAACCAGTTATAACCAGTGTTCCCTCTAAGCTGAGTTAGTGTGAGCTAGATCACAGTTTTTTAGCCTCCGGCTCACACATTTTTGCCTTGGCTTAGGAAGGAGGGCTCCGGAGCAAACTAATTTATGCAGTGGCCAAATCTCTTGCTCACAACTGTAATGCCAGTAGCTCACAAAGTAGAATTTTTGCTCACAAGACTCCTCAGCTTAGAGGGAACATTGGTTGTAACCAATTGCACCCAACGGTGGTTCACTCTACATCAATTTTAGCACATGTGCTGCCAAAGTTTCAAAATGTAATTGTTATAGTATTTTAACTCAGTCTCACTGTACTGTACTTTATTGTATGTATGTATATATTCTGCCATGAAAGACTGCTGGGAACCCAAGGCCACTCATACCCTCTCAACTAAACCTACCTCAAAGGGTTGTTGTGAGGATAAAATGGAGAGGAGAACAATGTACACCACTACAGATCTCCGCCATTGGGGGAGAAGGGATGGGTATAAAGAAAATATATAATTAAAATATTTTGTAATCAATCTGCACTCGCGCTCAACCACTGGCCACAATAAAGACTTGTAAAATTATGAACAAAACAGAGATTTTCACTCCGGCAGGGTTCTTTTTGTAGCGGGTACTCATTTGCATATTAAGCGACATACCCCTAATGTAGCCAATCCTCCAAGAGCTTACAGTAGCTCCTGTAAGAAGAGCTCTGTAAGCTCTTGGAGGATTGGCTACATTAGGGGGTGTGTGGCCTAATATGCAGAGGAGTTCCTGCTACAAAAAGAGCCCATTGGTGGCTCTCATTCTCCCTCATGATCCTGGAACTTCCCCAGTTCCTCCTTCTCGATCCTTTAAGTGGAGATGCCAGGGACTGAGCCTGGGGCCTCCTGCATACAAATCAGGGGCTCTGCCACTGAGTCACAAGTACCTTTCCCATTCATTCACATACATTACGCCTGAAAAACTTTAAAAACATGTTTTCTTCCAACTCTAGTTCAGTAGTTACTCACCAACTGTCATGAATTCCGGCACACTGGCTGATGGCAACAGCTCACTTAAAGGGTTCTCTTGGGCATGAGGGCTAACTGCTCCCCTGTTTTATTTAGTTAAAAATAAAGCAAACACTATTGGCAGAAGAACAGAGAATACTGGATCTTCAAAACACAGAGCACAGTCCACTTGGTGGGCCTCATGAAGGCAGAAAGGCAGAATATAAATTTTATAAAATAAACAGGTACAGTGGTTAGAGTATCAGACTATGATTTGGGAGACCCAGGTTTGGATACCCAGTCTGCCATGGAGCCTTGTGGGGTAACCTGCTGGCAAGGTCCACTAAATGTGAAACCTTGGCCCTTTTAAGCTGGCCTTCAGAGACGTGCATGCATGAGGACGACAACCCAACTGGTGCTATTCATAGCATACATCCCCCTCTTGCAGTGTAGACTTCCTAATTTACCCACTGTAGTACATGCTTCATGCAATAGCCAAATCTATCATATTTCATACCATACAGACCAAATTACCAATTCAAGGTACCATTTTTAGTATTAGCTCCAGGACCTTCATTTCAAGTACCTGCACTTTTCTCAAAGACCAAAAGGTTAAGAACTGGTGCATACCTGAGCCCGCTTTGGGGAGGACGTGTTATAAATCCAAAAAATAAATAAATAAATAAACTTTACCCTCAATTTAACTTTTTCATGCTTGAAAACTATATGCAGGAAGAAAAAACTCCAAGAAAGAATGCAGGGTCTTGGAGTAATAAATATCAGACTGAATGCCTACAGCAGATTTCTTTCTCATCACACTTTTTAGCTGCCCCAGGCTTATGAAAATCCCTTTTATGTAACTTAGCAGACCAGAAAGTAAGTGATTTCAGACAATTTCAGGCTTGCTGACCTTCTGCACAGAGGTCAGCTTGAAGAACTCTTATCTCTCATTTATCTTCCCTATCTTAAAATTTAGCAGAGATTATCTTCTAACAGTCCCATCCTCCACCTTACCAGTGAGTGCCTTTTCAATGGTGGCCCATAAATTATAGAAATAATTGCCTGCAAGGTCCATGGAATACTGACACCTTGGCCCTTTTAAGATGGCCTTCAGAGACCTGCTTATTTTCTAACTCAGAAACAAGATTTCTTCCTACAAAACACATTTAACAGTTTGAACTGTTTTTTTTTGAAGTAGTAAAATAATAGTCTAATTGTCTGTATACCTGTAGTGCAGTTCAGTGTTCCTTTGATCCAATTCGACAGCAAAATCAATACTTTCAGGCCCATCACCGTTTTCCAGGTTATCTAAAATTGTACACAGATATTTAGAAGAAATTATAGCATAAACACAGCTCCAGCTCATGCCATGTCTTTCTGGGCCCCACTCCACATTACATTTTGTACTCAACCTCATTAACATTCACACCAACCAGTATGAGGAAGTCCCTTTGGGATGATTCCTAATCTTGAGGAATGCTTTGATACATTAAATTAAATATTGTAATCAAAGAGACCAGCTATGGGGGGGGAGAAGAGAGTTGAGATCTGCCTATGGCTGAACATCTTATTTGACACTGACACATTCTTTGCTCAGAACAAAGCATACATGGATCACGTTTTATTTACCATATTTCCCCCCAAAACTCTGTGGCGCTCAACACAGCACTATGAGCAGCATCACTTAACTAGACTTCCTCAGAAACATGCCCTGTGAACAAGCACAGACAAGCCCATATGCACACATACAGGGATGAAGGGAGCTTTGACTTTCAAAAGCTGATATCCTGGAAATCTTATCGGTCACTAAGGAGCTACTGGACTTGAAACTTGCTCTTCTGCTGCAGACGGACACAGCTACCCACCTGAAACACACACACACACACACATCCCCTTTTTGATCTGTTCCTTCAACACAATGCAACTATAAAGTGACCCAACAATGTCAGGAAGTGGGAAGAGGAGGAGGATGATAGCTTCTTAAGAGCAGAGTTGAAAAACCTCTCTCATCATACTGTCCTAATCTTGCTTCCAGGCACCCGAATGTCAAGACCATCTAGAATACTGCAAGGTAATCAAAATTTGATGAGTCCTGACACATCCTTAGAGCATTGTAGCATAGACTTAAGAATATCCTTATCCTCTAATGAAGCTTGAGAATTTGTATGTCAGAGAGAGCCTCCAAGCCAAGAAACAGTTAAAGCCTACCCAGGTAATCAACCACTTCTGGGAAAACTGAATTATGTTTTCATACCTCTGTGCTCAGAAAAGATACACAATACATATTTAAATGTCTACAACCTTTGCAGTCTCAGAAATATCTTCCTCAACATCTAATTTGTATCCTGAACTTTCTTCCAAAGAGCTCAAAGAAGGTATAGAGTTCCTCCCTCCTCCAATTTAACTTCACATCAACCCTGTAAGGTGGGTGAGATAGAGAGAGGGTGACTGGCCCAAGGTCAGTCAGAGCTTTCATGGCTGGAGTTTAGATTTGAACCTGGTTCTCCCCATTCTTAACCTGATGCTCTAACTACCATACCACTTTCTTCAGTGTGCAAAGTTACACAGAGTAGAAACCAAATTCTGGATTCCTGTGTCAAACTACCAACTCCCTGCCAATACAATTACCCAGAATGCCCTCACTGATCATGACTACTACTACTTCTTTTTTTTGGGGGGGGGCCCCGAAGGGGATTTTTAAAATTAATTTTCTATAAACTACAAAGAAAAATAGGGTAGGGAGTCTAACATCTACAGGAGAAAGAAAAGCTAACCACTAAAAGCCCAAGTAGTGAAGATCATTACATAAGCTTATAAAATGTTAGTCTAATCTATTAATAATACAATGAGCTTGAATGTTTAAATCTAGCTAATACTCTCCAAAAACCGATGAAAGTTACTGTTTAAGGCAATCACAAAAGCATAAAAAATAAAGAAAAAACAGCTTCTTAAAGGTGAAATTCAGAGTTCCTCAGTATCTCATTTCTTGGCACTTCTCTTCAAATCATAGTCTCTTTTGGGGGCCGCAGCTCCCAATTCTGAATTAGAGTCCTCCTCAGTAGTTGAAGAAGAGTCTTCACCGCATTCTTTATCCTGATCTTCTTTGTCGTCTTCTCTGGACCTTCCCAGTTGCTGCTTCAAGAACTCACTTGCTTTCTTAACAGAGTCAATTCTTTCTTTTTTGTCATATATTCTGAAGAGTATGCCTTCGGGAACCAACCATTTGTACTGTATGTTGTTTGTCTGTAAAAACATTGCCAAATCTTTAAATTTCTTCCTCTTCTTTCTAATTTCAAACAGAATGTCTTTTAAGATTTGAATTGCCATTGATTTTCAGGGGTGTTCCTGATGTTGCTTTCAGGATTTGGTCTCTCACATATCTTTTTGAGAATCTAACCACTATTTCTCCAGGCAGATTATTTTTCTTGATAAATTCAGAATAGGATCTGTAAACCACATCCATCTTGCTTTGAAGATATTCCATTTTCAAATCTGCAACTGGCGCAAGTAGATCACCCAACACTTGTTTTAGATTCTCTCCTTTTGTCTCAGGGACCCCTTGGAATCTCAGGATGAAGCTTGCTTTTTCCATTTGTAGCTGTAAAAGCTGAGATTCATCAATAATTATTTTCTTTTCCAACACCTGTACCCGCTTTTTCACCTTTTTAGATTTGGCATGAATTTCTTTCAGTGTCTCTGCTGTTTGCTCTGTTAACTTCTTAGTTTCATTCAATTCCATCTGTTGAGCAGCAAAATTCTGGTTCAAAGTAGTCAATTGCTGGTTGATGTTTGTCATCTGGTCCAGCAGAGGGTGCAAAGATTCAGCTAATAGCTGTGAAAGATCGTTGGTAACTTCCAGTCGCAGGCTTCTACTTCCAGGAGGAGGCTTGAGCTGCAATGGTTTCTCTTTCTCGCCTCTCCGCCCCACCATTTTTGAGGATTGTTGTCAGCTATGCTGCCATAAGGATTAGGGGTGGGCTGCTTGTTCGCCCTGTGTACACAGTACCGTTGCATTCCTTTTTTGCTTCTGTAACGCTTGCTTATTTATGGCCTTGCAGGTGGTGCAGGAATGTGGCTAATTGGCCTGGGAATGGGGTGTGTGTGCATACAAATACCCTATATCCCATTATGCTTGTAGGGGCGACGCCATTCTTAACAGTAACTTTGTTAATGCATCTATAGTCAATCAATCAATCAATAAACCTTTAATGGCATATACAACATTAAAATCAAAGACAGAAAATGACATAATCAACTAAAAGTCTAGGTTAATTATAAAATCATGAAACGGACTTTCCCAAATTTGTCACTCTCATCACGTAATGCATCTATAGCTCTGCTATAAAGTATAACCTTTCTGATAAGCGTGTACTCAGTTGTTGGCTGTGAAACCTGATAACTGTTTACTTTTAGTAAAGTTTGCCAAAGTCTCTGTTATTCACCAGAACGCTTAAATGCGCTCTTGTGTGCTTCTTAAATCAGTTCTTATAGCTTTTACATCTGGCTCCCTTCTTTTAAAATGATCTGCTTAGATTTTGCGTCTAGGAGTCCCCTTTCCTGCTTGCTTAGATTGAAGGGGCTTTCTGGCCGGAACTCGGTATTCTGCTTTCTACACGACTCACAGTTCATCGTTGGTCCTAAGACCCGCCAAAGGTACGTGCAAAACGCCCGATCTTCACACGCTTGCCCCGGTCAGCAACTCTCAATCCATACGGTCACACATTGGCAGGACATTCAGGGTGGAGGGAAGCCTCAATTCCCCGGCATCGAGCCGGAAAAGAGGCAATCCCTCAAAAGCCCCATGGTTAGGAGTCAAAACGTAAGGACTCCGGGGGTGTAGCAGACAATTGCACCCCCTCCTAACCGCTGATGTACAGAGCTCCCAGGGTCGCATCCGCAATCATGCTGCCGAAAACCGGAAGTTTGATCATGACTTCTTTTGAAGCTTCACCTGCTCACCAGAGCAATGGCCTTCAGTTCTTTCCAGATCTGAATGTAACACCACTCATGTGACAAGAGGGATGAGTTATATGACCTCACCAGAGAGAGGGCTGTGGGCAACTGACAAAGTCAAGCACGGGAGAAGAACTATAGAGAGGAACAAACGAAGGGTTAGAGCCACAGGGAAATCTCTCCTTGCCCTTCCACCAGTCTTCTCAATGTGCAAGCAAGGAGAAGCAAGAGGCACAACGCATGTCCACCAGCAGCACATTTGGTGTAGTGGTTAAGTGTGCGGACTCTATTCTGGGAGAACCGGGTTTGATTCCTCACTCCTCCACTTGTACCTGGCTGGATGACCTTGGGCAAGCCATAGTTCTGATAAGAGCTGTTCTTGAAAAAGAGCAGTTTCTGTCAGAGCTCTCTCAGCCCCACCTACCTCACAGGGTGTCTGTTGTGGGGAGGGGAAGGGAAAGGAGTTTGTAAGCCGCTCGTAGACACCTATGGGTGGTGAAGGGCGGGATATAAATCCAATCTCTTCTTCTTCTTCTTCTTCTTTAAATGGCAGCCAAGAAATGGAGGCTCTGCAGAGTTTCTGTTCCACAGGTGGAAGGGCTCCTAGAGCATGCATAGCTATCAAAGCACCAAAACAAAGCCAGTATGATCAGCACAGCATCTGAATGGCAAAGGGTTCCTTCTAACTGAACATAAGGAACACTTTTCCTTCATTTCATGTTGCACCAATCTGCAAGGGTGCCTGGCACTCACTTTTCTTTAATACAGTGCCATCAACATGATTGAAGATTGAAGGTCAAAGAAGACGGGGACAGCAAAGAATGAGATGGTTAGACAGTGTCATAGATGCAACGAACATGAAACTGAGCAAACTTCAGAGGACGGCGGAAGACAGGAAGGCCTGGCGGGATCTGGTCCATGGGGTCGCGAAGAGTCGGACTTGACTGTGCAACTGAACAACAACAACAACATCAACATGAACAGCAACCCCTGTGCCAGGAAGCTCAGAATTTCAAATCTGATGTAAGAGCAGGAATTAAAGGTGGAGGCAGAGATTTACTGGAGAAAGAACAGGCATTTGTACCAAGCCATGTTTTAGTAGTCTTCATGGAAAACACACAAGATATATAAACAGAGAGAGAGAAAAGAGGATAATCCAAAGCCAGCTGCAGAATGGGGAAATGACAGCACAGTGTCACAGAGAAATGTTTGAAAAGTCGGACATTTCTGCTGGGGGCATCCAATGGGAGAGGGAATGTATTTTCCAGGCAGCCATCTCCTAAGGCTATGTGCAATCTCTCAATCCCTGCCATTTATTGCAGTTCCTCTTGCCTCTATATTTTGACATGTGTGCTGAAAGAACATTGAGAAAACAAATGTTGAGAAAACAAATGTTGAAGCTTGATTCTTAAGGGTGCACTCAAGAAAACGAAGGTGGCAGGCCTGTCTTCTGCTCATTCTTGCATAGTTAATACTCTCCTCAATCACATAGCCTTTTTTTTACAGAGGGTAAGGCTTTCTTAATAATTTCAATGTCAAGCACACCAAGCCCCAGTCAGCTGGGGAAAGATCTTAAAATGAACAGCAAGGTCATATGCATTTTTTTAACCTTTAACTTCAACAGAGAGATCTGTGTATGTGACTAACCCTTTTTTCTTTGTATGTCCCACAAGGAAGCAAAGGAGAAATGGTGCAACAAGCTATAAGAGCTGCACTGAAATTAACAGCAGGTATCCAAGAAAACTGGAGACTCTGCCCAAGAAAGCTAATTGAGGCTGCTACAACTGAATGCTAGCAGAAGATTTGACCAAAAGAGGAATCAGTTCTCTAACTCTCCCAAAACATAATTCAAACAGCACACTAAATACAAAAACCATGAAATTATAACTATGGCAACTTTGATACTTCCTTCTGTGAAAATTGTCCTTGTTAAATTTGTCTGTCTTTGAATGATAATTGGATATATGGATTTTGTTCTGTTGCCTCTTTGAGAAAGCGAAGAAGAAACGGAATTAAAGGTTGACAGGTCTATCAGAGGCTGTATGTCCATAAGCATTTATTTATTTGTTAGTTTTATACCCAACCCTCCCCGCCAAGGATCACCCACAATTACTGGATTTGAAAGAACAAAAGACTTAAGACCGTTTACTACACAGCACAAGCAGTTCAATCTTGGAAAGAACATTTATAGGCACTTTCATTCATCATACGAATAGTTAAGAATGGACTGGTAATGAATTATTTATTGTGATTAAGAAATGTACTATTGTAGAACTATATGCACCGCAATAAGAAAATATTGAAGTATCAAAGGTGTCAGTTATAATGTCATGGTTTTTGTATTTTTTAATTATAGCAAATTAAACCTAGGCACAGACTGCCACCAGAACTCTAAAATCCAGGACTTCAAGGTCCTGAGTCTGCAAGAGGTCCTGTATACTGTTTACCATATCCCTCATTCCAGAAAACACATGCTTTGTTTGCTAATCACCAAGGATAACGTGATTTTATAAGTTAAACCCAAAGTTAAGTCATAACGGAGGTCACAGCAATATATAGGCATTAAGACATGAAGACACTCT